CAGCACCACACCAGGACTCTATTACTTGCCTACATACCACCAAATTGAGACTACATCATCACTTCCGTTATATTGGCATCTTTGAGCCATTGCATTTTATCTCATTCTTAAATCTTTACTTTTGGTGTTTTGTACCATATTCTAGAAAAAAATATTTCTCAGGATAGGCTGGAGAATTTTAAACAGCTCCATAAGATGGTCTGAAGAAGGTAAAGCTAGTCTCTAATTCTATACCCCCCTATTACTTACACAGCCCCTTCTCGCAAGGCCTCTCCCAGCTGGCTCAGGTATGGAACCTGAAGCTGGTCCTCATGTCTCTCATGAACTGTATTGTTTTTGTTGAGTGCCACTGAGCACTTAATCCATTGCAGTAGCACGGCTCTAGAACTATGGTTTATAGTACACCTACTTCTTGCCTATTACCTACCTCATTATCTGATTATTCACATCTATCTATAACAATAATTCTAAAAGTATTATACAGCTACAGAGTCCTCGTGTGGTGCTACAGGATAAGCACTGGACTGCTGACCACAAGGTCATCAGTTCAAACTCACCAGTGTCTCCTTGGAAACCCTATACAGGGTTTCTATGAGTTGGACCCTACTCGACAGCACTTACCACCAACATCCAGCTATATTGCACATTAAAGTAGATGCCTAGCAGTAATAACTGAAAGGTGTACGCTGGTTTTTATAATTAAGGGTATGTATCAAATTGACTGGGCCATGATTCTCACTGGCTTAGCAGTTATGTAATGATTAACTACAGCAGCTATGTGATTATGTCCTGGTGGTTTGCTTAAATATGCAACCATTCCTAACAGAGGTTTCAGAAAGAAGTCACAGATAGACAAGAGAGGCAAGAAGAGAGAAGCAGAGGGAGGAGGTGAGGAACTTTCCAAAAGAGCTATAACTGGGTCAAGAGCTATAACCCTGAAGACTGAGAGGTCTGAAGGTGGTGCTGTGTGTTCAAACCACTAAATCCACCATCCTTTCCACTGGAGAAAGAGAAGGCTGCCTGCTCCTGTAAAGATCTACAGTCTCAGGAACCCTAAGTTAGGGTCACTATGAGGAGAAATTGACTGGATGGCAGTGGGTTTGGTTTGATTTGGGTGTTAATGTAATTTGGCAATATGTAATATGTAATCCTCTTCCATTTGGTGATTTGATGTGGTCATTTTCCATTTCACATAGCATTGCTTTTCATACAACAACCTGGTCTTTGGGACCTAATAATGATGAATAAAAAGCAGGTATATTTGTTCTGTTTCCTTATTTGCTTCCCCTGACTTAGTTCCTTAAGGAGCTCTGGTGGCACAGCAATTAATTGCTGGCCAAAAGGTCAGCAGTTCAAACCTACCAGTCGCTCCACAGAAGAAATGACACGGAGATCTGTTCCTGTAAAGATTATACAGCCTTAAGGGCAGTTCCGTGCTATCAAATATTATTGCTATTTATTGGAATTGACTCCACAGCACATAACAGCACTCTCTGTCTTAGATTCCTATTATCTGTATGCTGGAGCTTCTCTGCCTATCTTCATGTTTCTAAATCTTTCCTTATTGCTTTCTTTCTTTTTTTAAAGAAGCTTTTATTGTGAATTGAGTGATAGCTTACATGGGAGAACATCAGTGCTGCACCCAACCTATTGAATTTTGTTTCATTGCAATGATTACAATCCCCTCAATGCATCATCAGTTAACAGCATTTGTTTCTATTCCATCTGGTGTTTTTTTTT